AAGTAATTGTCATGTGTGGCTGAAGCAGGCAGGGGGAGCACAAAGGATGAACTAAAGGCAGCAAATTTATTGCTGGGAAAAAATGTCCAAAACATAAACTCACAAAAACACAAACTAAACTTAGAAAAATGAAAACGAAAAATAAAAACACCTGGAAATGAAAACTAACACCAGGAAACTAGAAACACCGTGAGATTTACACACATGAGGTACAACACAACAAAGGGAAAAGGAAAGCACAGGGCTTAAATATACAAAGGAGTAATGAGGGAATGCGAAACATGAGGGAAACAGAGCTGTGATTAATTAGACACAACAAGACAAGGGGAAGCAAAACTAGACACACTGACATAAGACATAGGGGAGGCTGTAGCTCAGGAGGTAGAGCATGGCATCTACTGATTGGAAGGTTAGTAGTTTGATCTCTGGCTCCTCAAGTCTGCATGCCAAGTGTCCTTGGGCAAGATACTAAATCAAAGTTGCTCTTTGATGCATCCATTGGAATACGAATGTGTGTGAATGTTAGTAAGGAAGCACTAAAAAAGCTTAGAAGAAAGTGCTTGTGTGAATGTTATATGTTTTGAGTACTCCGGGAGAGTAGAAAAGCACTGTATAAGAATGAGTCTAATTAACATTTTACATGGGAACTAACATAAACATGAACCCAGAACACAAAACACTAGACAAGGAACACAAGGGAGTCACAGAGAAAAAAAAACCTAAAGGCTAGAAAATCACAGAGGTGCAAAAATAATAACTAAGAAATATGAAATACAAAAGCCAAAACCATGACAAAGAATAAACAAAACCTAACCAAGACCCTGACAGTAATAAGTAATCTAAATGGAGACCATAACAGCAAGAGCCCAAGTTTAAACAACATTAGTTCATTTTACAGTTTTCAAGTGCAGTCAGACTGTTTAAAATTTTTTTAAACAGTCTGACTAAGGCTAAACAGGCTAAACAAAATACTGAGAGTGGCCAGTGGTACCCCTCAGCCTCCTAGTAGATCCACCTATGTTATCAATTTCAAAATCCTATGTCGTTCTTCAGTTATCGCATTCACAAACTTGTGTGTCCCCATTACAATCCGCATTGACTGTAAAACCTGGACTAACTCCATTATAATACAGTTTCTGTAATCCACATATGCAGCCACGTGATAAAAAAGTTTAATTCTACTTAAAAGTATTTGCAGATGTTTCAGATGTTTGCCAACTGAAAGGAAAACTATTTACTGAGCAGCACTAGGACCACTACAAAGTTGTATCAAAAAGAAGTGTTCTTTTAACTCTTATAGATTAAACATCT